TAAAATTAAATACTAAGGGCAGTATTGAAATACTGAGCTATGATTATAAAGTTCTCTATTTTCCTTTCAATTCTATGGTTCTGGTCTTCCCTTGTAGAATTTCTTTTAATATTTTTTACAGTAATATTTCTGCTGTGGAAAAATTCCCATACCTATTTGTGTCTGAAAAAATCTTTCTCCTTCATTTTTGAGAGATAGTCTTCCTTGTATACAAACATCTAGTTGGCATTTTCTTTTTTTTCTTCCACCATTTAAAGATGTCATTTGAAAGACTCTAGCTGGTACTGCTAGACTTGGTAAGTCTTCAGGAACTCTTTGCTTCTTTGCAGATAATACAGTTCTTTATTCCTCTCTAGCATTTACATTTTCTCTTGATCACTGGTTTTCAGTATTTAAATTATGATCCACCTTAATGCATTATTCTTTATGTTTCTTTTGTTTGGGTTCTGTTGAGCTTCTTACATTTGCAGGTTTACAGTATTAAATTTAGAAAAATCCCACCTACCATTTCTTCAAGTATTTTTCTGCTTCCCCCACTTTGGCTTGATTCTGTGTTATAGGCCGGTACGGACAGAGCACAGTCCTGTTCTCCCTGTGTTTCAATGTCTGAAAACAGGTGCTAGCTATCACTAGTCTAACTTCTGGTTATTCAGAACAAGGATAAATCCACTAGCAGTCTTTCCTGGAAGAAATAAGAATCTCCTTCCTCTTATCTGGCTGTAACAAAAAAAGTTCTCTTTTTCAGTCTCTTCTCTTTTTACCTTAGTTTGGTTAGTTTATATTGCTATGTGTTCACATTCACTAACCTTTTCTTCTGTAGTTTCTAATTTGCTATTAGCTTATCCAGGAAAATTTAAAGTTTCCAGTTAGGTTTTATTTTTTTTTATTCCATTTTATCTTCATTATGCTTATATTGTTCTTTGAATCCTTGAACATGTTTATAGTAAGCCTAGAGTTTCTGGTAAAGTAATGCCGTATCATTCTACTTCTATTCATTTTTTCAGTTTTTTTCCAGTACCAGGAATTGAATTCAGGACCTTGCGCTTGCCAGGCAGCCACTGTGCCGCTGAGCTAAATCCCAGCCCCTGTTCATTTTTTCTATCAGTTCACTTTTCTTTTGAAAAGTCACATCAATCACATCTTTCTACTTTTCTGCATGTCTAGCAATTTTTTATTAAATGCTGAACACTGTAAATATCATTTTATTCAGTATCTGCCCTTTGTTGTCTTCTTTTACACAACAATCTCAGTATCAGTCAATCTCCCTCCCTCTCTCCCTCCCTCTCCCCCTCTTTCTCTCCCCCTTCGCCCCTCCGTTAGCTTACATTCATATCCACTTGAGACTTACTTTTGGGATTTATTTAAGTAAGCTTTGTTAGAGTGGGCCTAGAGAAGTTTCATGCCTGTCTATTTTAGCCCTACTAGTAAAGATGGGCGCCTGCAGGGCTTATAAGAACTCAAAAGTCTTCTGGCCCCCTGGGAACTGTTAACCTTGTAGCTCCCGCAGGTTTCTTTATCTGGCCTTGTGGGTTCCGGCCCTACACATGCTCAGGTTGGCACGCAGCAATGCTGAAGTCCTTTCAGACTGCTTGAGCTTTTTTCCCCTTCATAGCTCTCTTCCTGCTGACATTACCTGCAAACTCCAGATATTGAGATTTCTATACTCTCAACTCAGGGTCTGCTGTACTCTGCCTGGCTTTTCCTTCCCTGTGCTGAAGTCCAGAAAGTGTCTCACGGTAGGAGACTGACAAAATCATCTTTTCTGTATGTAGTCTTCTTTTTCCTGTCAGGGAGCACAGTCCCAGTCTATTTACTGTCCAGTATCTGAAACTACAGAAATGTGCGTCTTTCTCCTTTATTTTGCTGTTCAAATGATTTCAGTAAGCTTCCCTTTGAGGTGGCTACTGTGTATTCTAATATGTTCCTATAATTTTTTAAGCATTTATATATTTTATGGTACATGTAGGTATTTCAAGTTCATTTATATTTTTCTTGTCCCATACCTGGGGTCAGAATTTTCTCCAAGGAGATCTGAAATCTTTTAGGGAGGACTGATATTTAGAGATCAGTGTGATAATTACAACTGACATATCATTGCTTCTAGGTTCAGAGAGAGAGATATACACATCTTGGTTTATAAGCTAAGAGGTCCCATTAAAATCTGAAAGGGATGCAGCTGCTTAGACTCTATGAGTGAAAACTAACTAAACTGTAGCTCTTTTCCAGGACAAAGTTTCACACTGAGGAGAAACTGTAAAACCAGGACAATAAATAAAATTAAAAAGGTCCAAGTAAAAAGTGACAGATGGCAGTAAAAGAGACAGGTCTTAAAAGTGTGTATTTTTTATTTCATTGTTTTAACAAGGGAAAAGGGAACTCTATAGAGTTATGAAACTAAAAATGTTATCCTCAGATATTACATGCAAGCAAAATAGGAGTGAAAATCACATTGATATCAGACTTTTTAAGAGCAATGATGCTTCATGCCAGAAAACAATTAGAGTAATGTAGTAGTCAAGAAAATAAGAGCTAAAAATTCAATAACTATCCAAACAAACATCAAAGTATAAAGGCCACAGAAAAACTGGTAAGATGGTCCTGTGAACTTTTCCTGGGAAATCTAGCAGAAAACAAGTGTTAGACAACCACAATACTTAAGAAATAATGTGAGAATTGGTGCTAAGATTAAATAAGTATTTATTCACCAAAGTAATAAATGATTACAAAGGGGACAGTATAGTAATGTAATTAATGGCTACTTGCTTTGCAAATATAGATTCAGCTCAACTATTAAAAATCAGAGAAGAATGAAGAAAGCATGTGGAAAGTAGAATAAGCTCACTAATTACCCTTCCTTGTTAGGAGTAAAAAAGATATTCCTGAAGTCAGAAGATGAGAGAGAGAGAGAGACAGAAGGAAGAAGAGATGGCTCAATAATTTTAGTATTATTCACAGTAAGGGTAAAAACTAAATAACGGAGGGAGGAAGAACAAAGAACAAACATATCACTTGAGAACTGATCAACTCAAGCTAAAGATAATGAACACACTGACAAAGTTCCAAGCCAGGTACTGTGGCGCAGCCCTGTAATCCCAGCACTTGGGAGGCAGAGGCAAGAGGTTTGCAGTTTCAAGGCCAGACTGGACCACACTCTTGTTTCAAAAAAAAAGGAGGAAAGTTTTGGCTACTGTGTAAAGTCTAGAACTGTCTAAAACAAATTCAGAAACATCAAGAGTAAGAAGATGGACAATAATCCCTCCACTGTATTGGTTAGCTGGCCTGGCTCTGAGACAAAATATTCAACACTTGCAACTGAAAGGAGGCACAGCTCAGTTTACCTCGGCTCACAGTTTCCGAGGTTTCAGTCCAGGTCACTGTCTCCAGGGTGAAACATCACAGCAGAAAGGTGTGATTGAGCAAGGTCACTCACGTCATGGTGCCCATGAGGCGGGGCCCAGGGAAAATGCACTGGCAAGAGAGACGCCCTCCAAAGGCACTCCCCGTCGACCTGCCCCCCAGCCCCCCCACCTCCCAACAGCACAGCCCGCTACGTACAGCGACAGACTCATCCACTGATGAGTACAGCACCCCCACAATCTAATCACCTCTCTGGGGGTGTCTTAATCCAGTCAAATTGACATTTAAAATTAAGTGGCACATCAGATAAACACAAATTTAAAAGATGGCAGGAGCTGTAACTCTGAAATCTGACAAGGTGGATTTATGGAAAGAAATCATAGAGAAAGAGTCATTTAAAAACAAAAGAATATTTTATAGCTTGATAAGAGTCCATGGGCGTCCATCGCTGTGAGTATGAGGCCAGCCTGGGCTACATGAGCAAGTTCAAGGCCAGCCTGCACTACATAGTAAGGCCTTGTCTCAGAAAACAGAATGAAACGAAACAAAACAAAACAAAACAAAAAGATGGGCTAGACTGTGGTGACAAGGAGACACAGGGTGTCCATTTAGAATGAAAGAGGAGGACAAACCATGCTTGGGTGCCTACTATAAGTCAAGCATTTTATACACATGCTCTCAATTCAATTATAATAATAACTGTGCAAGGCAAGGCTTGCGATTCTTATTTTATGGGGATTCTGAGGTTTAGGAACACTGACTTGCCCAAGAGTCAAGATTTTGAACTCAGTTTTACCTTGCTCTTTACCACTACACAATGTTATTTGTTGTTCTAAACAAAAACAAAAGAAAAAGAAGAAAGGAGGAGGAAGGAAGGAAGGGAGGGAGGGAGGGAGGGAGAGAGGAAGCGGGGGAGGGAAGGAGGGCGGGAGTTAGTACAAGCAAGAAAGGATACAGGTTTAAGGAAATACAGAGGGATAGGTATTTTAAAAGCATAACTGGGAAACCCTGGTGCTAGGAACTTGTATAAAAATATGAAGGAAAAGAATAAAGAATTATGAAAGCTAGCATCCACAGGGAGTTGTAAGTATATTGAAGAGGAAAGCAAGGAGGTCCTTACATGCCCTTCATTGTTCACTGCTTATTTTCCCCAGACCTGTGCTCATCACAGCCAAAATGTAAGAATATAATTAGACCCTCAGAAAAATATAAAAACCAATAGCTAGAAAAAATTCCAAATACATTACAACAAAGAAGGCAACATGTACCTTTTCTTCCTTTCTTCTCATTGGGAAGGGGAAGATTTTAAAGCTAGTAAAGTTCTAAAAAAAATTAGTTTTCAGTGTATAAGCATCAAGAGCTTAAAAGTTACTGCATAGGCTTTAGAAATTGATTTGTAGGAACAAAAACCTAGTTAACAAGATACCAAAAGTCATAATATAAAAATCTTCCAATTTTTCTTTCAAAAACTAAACCCTTGAAGTCCTCTGAAAATTCTTCTCCTTTTCTCTTTATCCAATTTTTATTTTATTCTTATCCCCAAGTTAGTCTTGAAACTTTCATGAGACACTCTACTGGATTATTTCTAGACGTTTAATTAGTTAGTAAGAATATCTGTCTCATTTATTTCAGCATATACTTACATGGAATGGTTCTCAGGTAGAGATTATCTCTGATCACTTGCTGCAGTTTGTGGTCAATTGATCCTTTTTGAAACTGAAGGCTCAGGTAATGCCGCAAATCTTTATTAATGACTTTGCCTACAAAAAAATAGAAAACAAAATTGTTGGATGTCCACTTAAGTATAAAACCTTGCGAGCTTTAAACCATTTAACTACTAAAAAGGAAAACTAAAAATAATACTAAAAGGAAGATATCACCAAATTATTATTATTACAGTACTATTATTAATTTATTTATGTGCAGTACTGGGAGTTGAACTTAGGACCATCACACTGAACTATATCCTCTGCCCCTCCCCCCTTTTAAATTTTTTTGGCGACAGGTTCTTGCTAAGTGCTAAATTACCCTGACTAGGTTCAAACTTGCAATCCTCCTGCTTCAGACACCCAGAGTGCTGAGATTATAGGCATGGGCCACTACACTTGGCTAGCACCAAATTATTATATGTGCTACAATTAAAATATGTACCTGAAATTCAATGTCAGTATAGTTTTACATAGGAGGAGAAGAAGGCATTGGCCACAGAATATGACAAATATCCAAAGTAATTTCATTTAGTTCCATGTCTTTAAATACCACCTATATAAAGCTTCCAAATTCATATCATGTCCCCACCCCTGACCTATCTCTACCAAGCTCCAAGCTCATCAAATTCATTCATCTATATTGCATTTATATTTGGAAATTTCAAACAAACACCTTAAATTTTAGACAGCCAAAACAAAACACTTACTTCTACCCTCCCACAATGTCTTCCTCTCCCCGTTTTCCCAGTCTTAGAAAACAATGGTACTATCGACTGGTGGAAAATCTTCAAATCTAGAAGGCATCCTTGATCTCTCCTTTTCCCTACGGTATCTGGATCTAACCCATTAGCAGCTTTGTCACTTGTATCTCCAGAATATAGTCCACTGCTCTCCACTTTGATTCATAATCTAAGCCTGCTAGGGATGGAACCGAGGGCCTTGTACATGCTGAAAAAGCACTCTACCTCTGAGCTGCAGCCCCAGTCTTCCCTGCATCCATGCTGGTCTCCTCCTGCATCCCCTATACAAACACACAGTATCTAGAGATTTAAAATGTAAACCAGGTCACTGTTACTGTTTTTACAGCCCTCTGAACTTTTCTTTTTTGAGATACTGCGGATTGAACCCAGGGTCTCTGCATTGAGCTATATACATTCCCAGCCCCTACTTTTTCATTTGAGACAGAATCTTGCTAAGTCACTAAGTTGCTACGTCACTAAGTCAGTAAGTCACTAAGGCTGGGATGGAACTTGAGGTACTTTTGCCTCAGCTTCCCAGAGTATTGGGATTTTTTGTTGCATTTGAAATAAAATCCAAACTCCCACTGAGGGTAGAAGGAAGCCCTGCATGTTCTGGCTCTGGTAATCTCTGATCTAGCTTCTTACTCTTCCCTCTCTCAAACTCTGTAACACAGTAATCATCTTTTTGCTCTTTGAAAAGGCCAAAACAGGGGCCTCATTCAGAGCCTTCTGCCTATCACTAGATGGAATGGTTCACTTTCTTGACTATATAGTGTGAATAAATAAGAGAATGAATAACTTCTTATTATTTTTAGGGAGAAGGAGAGATAAATAGAAAATACGAGGTGTCTCACAGAAATAATAAACAGGATTGTAAAAATCTCGTACCAGTGTATCTACAATAAGGGTTGAGCTTAATGAAAATCGATGCCCTTCAAACACTGTTTCATAAGACTTCAGATAAACAGAAGAGATCAAAGCTAAGGCAAAACAGATTATCTCTTTGAGTAAGAAATGACTAGGTGGGACAGAGAGAGAGCTCAGTGACACTGAGGTGTCACTGCCTGCCAAGCATGAGGTCCTGAGTTCGATTACCAGGACCAAAAAAAAAAAAAAGAAAAAGAAAAAAAGACTAGGTGATTAAAGTATATTCTTTGTATGATTTGGAACAAAATCCTTACAACAAGGTTAGATAAACTAAAAGGTTACTATCCATCAGTTCATTTCTAAGATTATTATTGTGCAATGTTACATTTCCAATCCTCTCTTTTGGTATTTCCTCCCACGTATGAATAAGCATAACCTATGTGGAAGGACATCAACATAAACAGGAAATCGGCGTTTCTAAAGTTCAGAGATAACATTCAGACCCTAGACAATATATACAAAACAAAATAACGCCTTCTGCTTTGCCAAAAAGAGATACTGAAGAAGGGGAAAATTTTTTTGATTAAAGGAAATCCACCTGAAAGACATTTGTAGAGATGAACATAAGAGAATCCTTGGTCTCAGAGTTTGCTTCTGTAGGCATTTAAGGATCACACAACCCAAGCCCAATATATAGAGAATCACATTACTTCATTCTTTACTGCCATTAGGCTACTTATTCACTGCTGGTAGAAGAAAAAACTTACTCATAATTAATACTGTATAATCTTACTGTTTACTGAACAAAAATTTACTCAATGAGTTTACAAAGTACTTTAAAATGTAAACAGTTTTTCAAATGTTTTGTAAACACTACACAAAAGTTTTGGTAGATTGCTATTGGTGCTTAGTGGATTTTTTTGCGGTACCAGGGATCAAACTCACAACCTTGTTCTTGCCAGGCAGGCGCTTATGCCCCTGAGCTATATCCCTAGCCCCGCTTAGTGGATTTTTGAACGGACAAAAAATACATCATTGCTTTTTCTCCATTTAAAATGATAATATAGGTTCCAATATCCAAAACGCTTGCGATCCAACATATTTTCAGGAAAATAATTTGGACAAATGACAACACCTATATAATTAAAGAGGCTATTGAATCAATACTTCTAACTCATGATGTCTTTTTTTAATTTAAAATTTTAAGATATCCATAAGTTACAGAGATGACTATAAAATTCTAAAAATCCAGACTGAATTTTAATCTACAAAAATAACAGTCATTAACTTAGACACATTTCAAAGATAAAGCCACATACAATCCTGGAGCACAAATTATATAGCATGATGGGCCTCTTAAGGGAAAATGGAGTTAAAACAACTCAATTCTTGTTTTAAGGGACTACGAGGTTTTAAGACTAGTTAAGTTAGAAAGAAAGAAAGCTCAATTTAAAGAATTACAATTATTATGGCTGGAACTGCACTGTTTTTACCCACAACTTCTATTAGGATTATATATAATGCCTCAATGAATAGTTATAAAGAAAAGGATGAGAAATAATTTTATAAAATACTAGATATTTTATTTAAAATAGCTCAGTGGTAGAGCTATTGCCTAGCATAACCAAGGCTCTGGGTTTGATCCCAAGCACTATAAAAAGTAAAAATTACATAAAATCTATAGCTATTAAAAATATTTCTTTGAGGTTGGAGACAAAATACTGTAAGCATAAAATATAAGTTATGATAATTTAATAACTATATGGGTTAACATTCTTTAAGATTAACAATTAATAATAAAATATGCTGGACATGTCAGTCATGGATTTCTCATCTCAAAATCCAAAAGAACCTTCCTAAGGGGACAGAATATTACGGTTCCCTCTGTTGTTATTTTCTGGTATTGGGGATTGAACCCAAGGCTTTTCCACTGAGCCACATCACTAACTTTTTTCTTTTTCTTTTTTTGAGGCAGGATCTCACTAAATGGTCCAGGCTGGGTCCAAACTTTCAATCCCCCCCACCTCAGCCTGGTATTACAGGCATGTATCACTTCTTTTTTTTTTTGTAGTATAAATATCCTGAATAGATGGATAACTATGGTATTACTGAAGGTCAGAAATACTAATTCAAAAAGATACTACTGAAAATATCTATTTACTAAACTTCTGCCTTTAGTTTATATTAGTTCACAGAAACACCATTTCAAGAGTATGGAAAACTGCCACTTGAGGTTAATGTAGTTGCTATTAAACAAACACACAGCTTGGCTGGAAAAGCCCATAACACATAAATACATGCACATACAAATTTCAACATACAAATCCTTAGTCAAAAGAACTCAGAATTGTAAATTCCTACCTTCTAAATATATGGAAATTAGTGTTTACCACCAGTTCTTTCTGAGGAATCAGTGTGCATAACAACTGGCTATTATTTGGATAAACCCTACGGCAGGATGCCACAGGGATGGCCACACAGACACCTGTAAGTTGGTCTAATTACCCACATTTCACAATCTATTTTACAAGGAAACTTTGTCAAATACTTGCTAAAGTCAAGATACAACATGTCTTACTATTTTCTAATCTAGTAATTACAAAACTGCAAAAAGAAAACAGTTTGGTATGTCTTGTTCTTCTGAATTCACAATGAATCACAGTATTTGTTATAATTATTATTTAAAATGTCCCCCAAAAGGCTCATTGTGTTGAGGGCTTGGTTGCCAGCTGATGAGCTTTCAAGAAGTGACTGGATTAGGAGGGATGTAACGTCATTAGTGGATTAGTCCACTGATGAGAGCTTAATCTGACGGCCTTACTGAGAGGTGATAGAAACTGGAAGTAGAGCCTAGGCAAAAGGAGTAGATGACGAGGCATGACCTGGAGACTGTATGTGTCGCCAGCTCTTTTTTCTCTGGTTCTTCCCCTTTGTTATGGTTTGTGCCTTGCTGTCCCCTCAAAGCCTCATGGAGTCATGGGGTGGGCTTCTACAGTTTATGATTGATCCATGGTCCAATGTTGTAATTATGGTGTGAGTGCTACATCCACTCTGGGGCAGGTAGCTTGCATACAATATAAAGGAGGGAAAGAGGCTTGCTCTTCCTTCCTCCTCCTCCCTTTTTGCTCTTGCTGCTTTTGCTGTCTTCTGCCACCATGAACTGCTGCCCTCTGCCATGTGCCATTCTGCCTTAGAGCCAGCCAAGAGCCAAGTATGGACTAAAATGTCCACAGTGAGCTAAATAAACCTTTCCTTCCTCTCCAAAAATTTACATTTGAAAAAATAATCTCTTCAAATTTTGCTACAGATTAGTTTATGTTAGGAAACTGGGCTTGAGTTTTCACAATCTATATTTCTGCTTTCAGGAAAGTGGGGCATTTGTCTCTCTCCAGCCTTTTGGTACTTCCTAAGTTATCCATGGTTTTGTGCAAAGTGCTAACAGTA